AGAAGAATTGATGCTTTTGAATTATGGTGTTGCAGGAGAGTATTGAGGGTGCCATGGGCTACCAAAAGGACCAATAGATCCGTTTTGGAAGAAGTGCACCCAGAGTGCTCCTTGGAGGCCAAGATGGCCAAACTTCATCTCTCATACTTTGGACATATTGTCAGGAGGGACTAGTCGCTGGAGAAGGATATCATGATTGGTAAGGTGGAGGGTCAGAGAAAAAGAGGAAAACCCCTGAATGAGATGGATTGGCCAAGTGGCAGCATTGATGGACCCAAGCATGGCAGCAGTAGTGAGGTTGGCCCAGGATCGTGCAGTGTTTCGTTTTACTGTGCATAAGGTTGTTATGAGTTGGTACGGACTCAGTGACACTTAACAACAACAACAACGCTAACCCACATTCTTGTAGTTGTTGTAAAGTGTTGTTGAGTCAGTTCGGACCCATAGCGACCCTGTAAGGGTTTCCAAGGAATAGGTGGTGAGCTTGAACCACCAACCTTACAGTTCAAACGGCTTTGCTTTCTGACACATTAACCCACAGCGCCACACCCACACCAAGACTCCTACATTAACGCCTACTAAATTCTGTATTGGAAATAATAGTTTCTTGAATTAATGCTAGATGTGCTGCCTTTCCTTTGTAATACTAAAAATATAATTGCCTTATCTTCACCCCTCAACAGCTTTTTATTTTGAAAATGTCACCTTTTACCACCTTAATTGGTAATATTTCATATGTGGCATACAGAATTCATTGTTTGAATAGGCTGAGTTTCTATGAAAACTCAAAATGATGTGATGCTTAGTTATAATGTGCATTATTACAATTGTATCTTCTTTAAAGGTATGAGCAAAGAGACTAAAGTAATGTATTGCAAAGCCGTACAATGTTAAGCAAAACCTTGTGCATCTTTTATATTATGAACTTGAAAGTTCATTTTATCTCTGGTACATGTACCTGTGTGTGTATGTAATTTCCAACTGCTTTTTAAGACTTTAATTTGAAAATACAGATTCAGTAGAAGTTGCAAAAGGACCTTCTCTGGAAGCGGAGGAAGGTAGAATGTCCACTGAGTAGTGTTCAGTCTGTCTGGACAGGGCTGATGAAAGGAGATGGGGATAGGACTCCTGTGGCACAATAGTGAATAATTGCTATCAGGACTGGCTGTGAGGGTTGGAAATGTAAAGGGAGATGTTTTATAGCAAAAAGAGGGGAGGGGTTGACTTTGCAGTCTAGGAGCACAGGTCCCTGGGACCATCAATGGAGAAGAGCAGAGTTCGGGACCCTACCCAGTGAAACAGTGATGCCAGTGATGGAGGTAGAAAGGATGATGTGGAGAAATGGAGTGGCTGGGGACTTTTTAGATCCAGAGAGGGAGAGGAGCTGTGTGCTGACAACCCAGTGGGGGGTTGGGGGAACAGGCTTGCAGGGTATAACCTTTGGTTGGTTGATGATGCATGGAGGGGATTGTAACCATGGCAACGAAATTATATATGATAGGATGAATGTAAAGTTAATGTTCTCCCATGTAAACTATCACATAATTCATAATAAAACATTAATTAATTAATTAAAAAAAAGAAAGAAAAAGGACCTTCTCTGCACTCTTTAATAAGCCTGTTTGTTTTAGAAATCTGAGTTTCTTTAAAAAAAAAAAAAAAAAAGATGTCTGTAATCTATAATGTGCCCAATACCCATTACTTCTCTGGATTATGAAGTATCATATAAATAGTTTTATGTCTTTAGTGCTCTTTTTAGGACATTCTTTCTCCATTCTCCCCATTTCCAGATGGTATCATTGATTGGGAAGGTGTATGTTTTGCCTACCTCTCTGATACATTTCCCCCCAGCAACTTAAAACATAGTACCAGAACCAGTTTATTCTTTATATTAAAGAAACACATTTGGTTGAATATTCAGGTTTCTTGTTTTTTATTTATTTTTCTGATATTTGAAAACTTTGGCCGTTTTCTTTCTTTCTATTAACCTTATTTCTTTTTTTTTTCTTATAGCCTGAAAATGAAATTTCTTCAGAATGCAATCATGTAAGTATAGATTTTGTATACTTCCCCATGTGTGCTTTATATATATGATGGCAAACTTTGGGATCCTTTTCCTGTTGTTCTTGGAAGTAGTATATTTTCATGGATTCCCTTAATCCTAGCAAAGTTTAGCAAAGCTAAACTTTGTTATAGTACTACAGTCAAATCTTGAATAGCACTCCACTGTAGGAACCAGCAAGTTCTGCCCGATCATATTAATGTACATGTTGTTGTTGTTAAGTGTTGTCAAGTTGGTTCTAAATCATAGTTTCTCTATATAGGGTTTCCCAGGGGCAGCTGGTGGGTTTGAATTGCTGGCCTTGTAGTTTTCAGTACAGTGCTTATCCTACAGCTGCACACCAGGAGTGGTGCTTATGTAAGCTTACATTTTTTCTTCAGTTGTACCTGCAGTGTATAATATTAGTTCTCTTCTTATGAAATTTACAGCTTTAGAATGCTTTTTTATTTTTTTAAGTTCTTTTATATTCACCAATCATCTATTAAAACTAAGCCCACAATGGTAGAAACTGGAGACACATAGGCAAATAAAAGCCTTGAAGATGGAAGTAGGTACTGAAGTTAAAAGATAAGAACTCCAAATATAACTGTGATTGATAAAATATGTATAAACTGATATGTGGTTGTTGTTAAGTGTAATAGAGTTGGTTCCGACCATAGCGACCCTGTATAGGATTTCCTAAGTGTGACTGGTGGGTTTGAACCACCGACCCTGTGGTTTAGACTGAGCTTGCGGTCCAGCACATTATCCTGCAGCACTACACCAGGACTCCATAAATTGGTATATATGCATGTATACATTAATAAGTCAAAAAGCATTGCTACAAAATCAGAGACATCCTTATTACAGTATCAAAATGTGAGGCTATTCTTTCTTGACATATCCTTCTCATGGATTTATACACTTCTGAAGGGGATGTTTTCATTTCTCTTCCCTCAAAGAATTTTGTGCTCTTCACTTACGTCAAAATGGAAGTTTTATCATCCTCAAGGGACTCAAATCCTGTTCTTTTAAAATATTCTTTAAGTTTTGGGAACAAAACGAAGTCTGAAGAAGCAAGATCAGGGATGTAAGATGGATGAGATAAAGTTTCTCAAAAAATTATTGTAGGACAACCTTTGTTACCCTCGAAGAATAAGCAAGTACATTGTTGTGATATATACATTATAAATTCCTCTACGCAACTTTCCTGCTCTTTTTCTCACCAATGCAGTTTTCATTTTTCTTAAAACTTTTTCCTAATAAGCCCTTGTGATTGTCCTTTGCCCTTTGGGAAAAATCTATCAAGATTAGTACTTTGGAATTAAAAAGAAAGTCTCCATAACCTTCTGAGTTGATCTCTCTGCCATATAATTGACTGGCCCAGCTGATCTCTGTGGAAGCAATGTTTTCATTGGACCTTATTTTTTTAAGGCATCCTAATGATAAAAGACAAGCATGTTCTGAGAGAACTTGTTTACAGACATCTACTGACCCCAGAGACATGTTTAAACAAGTTTTGTTTGGAATGAACTCGTACGTGTAGGAATTCGAACCCTAGTAGCAATACTTTTTAACATACCTTCCTATATATTAGACCATATTATGTAAAGGTGTTATATTAAAATAAAGATCATATGAAATCAAATCTGTATTAGGTGCTTTGGTAGAAGTCCTTACAGAGAACAGTGAGTTTTTCTAGGGGGGTTGATGTCAGGACAGATTTAATAGAGAAAAGATGATACTTGGGTTCTGTCTATAAAAAGGAACCGCTGTAGATCTGTCAATCAAGGAAGGCATAACTATCAATAATGTACAAGGTAGATTGGAGGTACAGTGAAAGAATAGAGAGATGGATTGACTGTTTAGTTTAGCTGCTATTCTAGATAGGTCACAGATTAGAGTGCAAAATAAAACTTTTGGAGTACTAAAAGAAAACATGGACAAATAAATTTTGTTAAACATGATATAGTCTGTAAAAGATGTTAAGATAAAGGTTTGTAAGTCTGATTGTATTAAAAATACTCACTCTCCCAAAAAAGTTATATAAATTATGAAAATACTTGCAACACAGTTGAAAAGAACTACATTCTTTAATAGAAAGTAGTGTTATTAATAAACTTAGTCTGTTCACAAGTAAGGAAAAAAAGATGGGTTGATTCTCCTTCATAATTAAAGATGAGAAAATTGAAAGAAAAATGATTAAAGTGTTTTCCTATATCCAACTAGCAAATATAAAAAATTTTGATAAATACACAGGATTGATGGTAGCAAGGGGATTGAAATGTTCTGTAATTCGGGAGTCCTGGTGTGGTGCCGCAGGGCAATACACTGGACCACAAGGTCGGTTTGAACCACAAGATTGGCAGTTTAGACCCACCAGCTGCTCCTTGGATAACTCTATAGACAGGGTCACTCTGAGTTGGAACCTACTTGATGGCATTTAATAACAACAACAACTCAGGAGTCAAAAAACTGACTCAGATCCAGCCTGCAAATGGAGTCCTCGTGTGACACTGTATGAACTGCTAACTACAAGGACAGTGGTTCAAACCCACCACCTCAGAAACCCTCTACTGGGTCACTATTAGTCACAACCAACTCCACAGCACTTAACAACAACTGATTTTATACATAAAGCTTAATTGGAACCCAGCTGTCTTGATTCATTCACACATGTCTGACTGCTTTCACACTGAAACAGCAGAACTGAGTCACTTGCAACAGCGACCGTACAGCCTTCAAAGGAAGGAATTAAAGGCAATAGTTTCTTAGATATGATACCTAAGGCAAAAGCAAACAAAGGAAAAAGTAGATACATTGAACTTCATCAGTAACATTTGTGCTTCCGGGGTAGGGATGAGACACAGGAAAGTTTGGGTGCTGGGGAGGGGGGCAATATACAAGGAGGGAGAGGGAAACGGAAGAACAAAGCAGATGGGAGAACAATTAGGCTTGTTTGAATGGGCTAAGTGGGACAGAGATAAAGAATGATGTATGTACAACCTTGGAACAACAGGGCTCTGGGATACAGAGATTGACCCATGGTTGGAATGGGGAAAATGTTAAGATGCTCGGCAGTCTTTTGAATCTTGGTTTTCCTTGAATTATAATATAAAATAGACACCGGAGGGGGAGAGAAAGAAATAGTCAGAAACATCAACATAGAAAGCTTGTAAGTCTGTCTTCTGCCTATAACTGATTGGAATACCTAAAATGGGGCTACAAAGTGCCCAGGGAAGGAGGCTTCGTGCGGAGCCTTTGCAATACATAAGGCTATAGGTAGAAGCCTGAACCTCATCCAGATCTCCAGAGATGGGAAATTGCCACTTGAAAGGACGAGCAAACCAGCCTGGAGTGGCTAGAAGAACAGAAGATACTTCTTGAAAGAAAGACCTACAGGAAAAATACAAAACAATAGAGGCAGATGGACTATTACTACAAGAACAAACAAATTGCTTGCCCAGGAAACATCAAGGCAAGTGGTCGGGTCCCCTTAATGTAAACCCCCTTCCAAGACTAAGACTCAACAGAAATACGTGCTCTGATTGGTGACCACATGCATCGCCGATAGGGGGACGTGGGGTAAAAGCAGCAATGAAGCAGCAAGCTAAGCCCTACAATGTTTGGTGGGTTTCTTTGGACTCAGATGGGGACCTGGTTGACCAGTAATGTGGGGAGACCTGGGGACTCCTAGAACCAGAATCAGCGGCGTGGACACGGAGGACTAGAGTGGAGAGTGAAGCTACCAGCTGATAAGAAGAGAGGGCATACGCACAAGAACACCCATACTTGCAGATAGGACCCATGTGACCTGGCCCCGATGAATGAATGATCAGAACTCAACCAGGAGAAGAAAGAAGAGGCAAAAAAGAGTGGTCTGATACAATTTGATGAACTTGACCTATACCTATGGATGCAGTAACCCAAAAGAGGGAACAAACCCTTACAGCAAGAAACATTCCCACCCCCTCCACACACAGAGTAGACAGAGATGGGCAACTTGGACATTGGATACCCAAATTGGGGGGGACGGGGACTACAAAGGCAAGAAGTGACTGGCTTACAAGCTTTCAAGAGGAAACCTAGAGCTAGGGGGCATGGAGGAAGGCAGAATCTCCAGTGGGTACTATCCAGTCTGTCTAGGTGGAGCTGATGAAATGAAATGTAGAAGGGTCACTTGTGATACAATAGTGAATGATTGTTATCAGGACTGATTGTGAGGGTTGGAAATGTAAAGGTAGACATTTTGTAGCAAGGAAGGGAGTGATTAACTCTCCAGTCTAGGAGCGGAGGTCTCTAGGACCATCAACGGAGAAGAGCCAAGAGTGGGACCCTACCCAGAGAAGCATCGAGGCCCCAAGATAGAGGCAGAGACGATGACGTGGAGTGATGAAGCAGCTGGGGACTTTGGATCCAGAGAGGGAGAGGGACTGTGTGCTGAAGAATGGGGGTAGGGGGGAGTGTAGGGGCGGGTTTATAGGGTATACCCTTTGGTCGGTTGATGATGCATGGAGGGGATTGGAACCATGGCAATGAAATGATGATATACGGTGGAATGAATGTAAAACTAAAGTTCTCTCATGTAAATTATCATATAATTCACAATAAAACATGAAAATAAAAATAACGCTTGTGCTTCAAAGGTTACTATCAAGAAAATTAGAAGACAGTATTAGAATGAGAAAAAATATTTGCAAAGCACTTATTTGATAAAGTCCTAGTATGTAAGACTATTTAAGACAGCAATTTAAAAAATAACCTAGTTTAGAAATGAGCATAGAATTTGAATAGACATTTCTCCAAAGAAGATACTACAAATGACCAGTAAAATAAGCACATGAAAAGATGCTCCAACATAGTTTGTCATTGTTGTTAAGTGCTGTTGAGTTGGTTTCAATTCATAGTGACCTTATGTAGAGTTTTCGAGGAGTGACTGGTGGGTTTGAACTAGTGACCTTGAAGGTAGCAGTCAGTGCTTATCCTACAGCACCACACCAGGATG